CTAGAAAAATACTGGATTCCCTGAAAAACACCCATGGAGCGTAATACAGGACAAAAATGTCAGGGTTCCCCTAATCGACAGCCCGACGATTAGGAATATCTGCACGCGTGACGTCAACGGTTGCACGCGGAGATTGAACGCTTGATGTACATGTTGATAAAACTTTATGAAGAGTTAGACGTACAACACTTTCTGAGATAAAAATCACGGAAAAAGACGCAGGCAGTGGATAACCCGAGAAGTTAATTAGGATTCGATATTTGTAATAAATATTCAGCGATTAAATACAACATCGTCTTGTGTATGCAATGAATTCTCCTCCGACTTCGCACTCGTAAGTCACGTGACACAAACATGACCTCTTTTGGTCGATATTTTATAGCAAGGGTATTCCTTGAAAATTACAATGTTTTGAGAAGGATTTGAAGCAAAATTATGATAAATTAATTAGTTTCAATATGTTTTTAGGCCAAATATATCATCAAATTGCCCAGTTTGTACACAGGAATGTATGATAAGGTAAATAATAAAGTAAAGAATAAAGTTTTAATATGAATCATATAATTACCTACCTACTTATCATGTAGATAGAACAAATAAATTATTGAAAATAACCATGAGTTTAAATTTTAAAATTTAATATTTTTCCAAATTGTAATCTTTTTGCTAGCCATAAGATCAGATTAATGGGCATGTTAACTCTTTTACTGACACAAACTCTAACAGTAACTTTTTGTTCTGAACTCACCCATTGTATACATTGCTGTGTTCATGCTTTATGTATTTCTAATAGATGCCGCGCTTTTTTTCCTTTCTAGGCATTAATCAAGAACCTTGATTTACGTTAATATTTTATGTAGCGTTTTGATATTGTCTTATCGTCTGTACGTTTAACAACTAATTGTAATTTAAATGATTTATAAACGACATCACTTACATATACAAGTTTACACATGTGATATTTAGGTTTTAATGGAAACATGATCGAGCAGGTGGCTGTGGAAAGAGTACATGTCTCGATATATAATAATTATATCTTTTGCACAGTTACACGCACTGGAAAAATACTTATCGACTAAAAATTGGACAGAATATTGAGTCGCTTGTTAGGAAATAAATACTAGTCCCGGTTAATTTTTTTTCATCAATACGATGATTTCTTGACGATTGATAATTTTGAGATCTACATCTGCAACGTATGTTATATAAAAAGATTAACCAAATATGTATGTGACCTGTTTCTATTAAAGATTTTACGGCCTTTGATAAAACCAAATAAGATAAAACCAATAAGTTAAAATCAATGTCATCCGTTTAATTGTAATCGGGATTAACGCATGCGTGTTGACAGAAATAGTAATGTAGATATTCAGACATCTGGAAGTGTCATCAACGATCTAGAAGGCTAATAGTACATCGTACGTATTCATGGTATTCCCTTAGGGTCTATTACACATATCGTCGGCAGAGAATTAACTAGTTCTATCTTACATTTTTCTAGTTCTGAGGAAATTGAGTTTAAAGTTTCGGGATTCTATATTTCTGTTACCTTTAAAGATTTGCTTTTGGTATTTTGCATGTAACTAACATGGGTTGATATTAGTGTCCATACTAATTGACATGTCCCATGTAGCACCGGAACATAATAATTTCATTGGTCGATTTTGCAGATACACCTTTGTGACTTCGAAATGTTTTTAATCTGGATGTCACAAAGGTGTATCTTAATATCTGTTGTTTTAAAAAAAATAACAAAATAGGTTAACTAATAATATTTCATGAATTATTGAACATTTAAACCATAAACATTAAATTATCATTTCATTTAAGTATAAAATAAAGTTTTTAACAACCTACAACAGTTTAATGAACACAGTTTTTGGAAACATTTTTTTTTTTTTTTTTGGTTCGGCATCAAACACATAATCATAATGGCAAAACTGCTGTACAGTTAACATACTAATGACATGTAAGCCCTGTCAGATGGTGGCATAAATTTTAACATAGCTTTAATGTCTTGAATTTTATCCTGTGGAAGTGTTTTAGCAGGAACTATTGCCAAAAAACAAACTACCAGTTAAAAAATAATTGACAAAATGTTGCCAAGTAGCAAATACCAATATTTAAAATAATTTTCATTAAATTGTGTAATATGATACTAAATAAATGATAGTTAATTAATAAATAGCATGATCCACAAAAAATTAGGATTAACTAGGTGTATCTGCAGAGTTGATGTTACACAATAATCACCATTATTGACTTTATTTTTTAAAATTCTATATCTGTATTTAGTTATAAATTATCTGAGATAGGATAAGAACATAAAACTAAAATTACGTTTCAAATAAAGATCTAATTTCATCAGCAGACATCAGTTTTCCTCTATTTGACCTAAGCTTTCTGCCTGTGCCCTCCATGTTGGATTTTGTTATCACGTGACCATATACGGGCATTCCTATTGGCTATGTTAGTTATACCAAGTTAACACTTAGTGAAAGATTAAATTTACAGATACACCTTTGTAATAATGGGTATAATATTTAGGGAAATATGACAGAGGGATTATATTTAAATCAAAATGGAGCTACTTGAGAAGGGATTATTTTAATACAATAAAACATTTTTTTTCATTTTGACAGATAGAACTAGTTAATCCTCGGTCGACGATATAGTATTTGGCTTGCTATTCTTTATATAGAAAGACGTGTATTGAACACTGAACGTATAATGACCCTAGGTTTCCTTTAATAAGATGACCGTAGGTGGAAGCGGACGTAAAGCCCCACAAGATGAAGAGGATACTTCATTGACTTTGCATATATTAAGACCAGAATACATATTTTTTAAAAGAAAATGAATAACGTCTTCAATCGCGATGCTATTCAAATTCAGGCGTCTTGGTGTCAACTCCATGCATGATATTTTTGATGAATGAACGATGCGGAATAACTGAACAGAAAAAAACTGTTAAACGAATCAAATTCAGTGAACTCGTCTAATCTAAATAGCTCTTTAATATCCAAAAAAGCTAATCAAGCGGGTGATCATTTGAAAAACTTGCGAGATTTATTGTCCTCGTGTCCATTCCTCTGTGTTAGAAATCTAATTTTGTCTTACTTTATTCATGAGACGAGCGCAGAATTTGCAATCAGTCGAAGACAAGTTACCATCGTGTAGCTTATTAAGGCGCCATAGAAGCGAATTAAACACGATTTCCATGCACTTTGCAATAACTGCAAACACCCCAATTTGTCCTGTATGTTAAGAGTTTTGGCTACATTTTAGACGCTGCAAGTAGTTTCCGTCTCATTAATGGCATAAAATAGCATTTCAAAGTTCATGCAACATTCCACTGTAAATTAATTCTCGTGTTAATAACAACAAAAATTGATGGACAAGAACTTTCAAGAAGGTTATTAAGGTTCTGCAACACGAACTAATTTATATTTTACGATGCAATGACAAGACAATGCCCAATTACGTTGTGCACTGGTCGCATGAATTAATCCTTACTATACATCAGCTGCTGGCACATCTCACTTAGGAACCAATTTGCCGATGGCTATTACGACTAGATTAGAAAACGAATGGTGAAAACAGAAATTGTTATAACTTTAACCAACTGCAGGTAGTTAATTAAACTTTGGAGAAATTATCTTCCGCCAAATGTATTACCCTTAAGAGAGTTTTCAAACAAATCTTAGCCACATCTTTCTTGTATGACCACTTCTTTGAGTGACATTTAGTAATGAAAAGAACTTTTACTTCAGACCATATATATATTTATGGCTTCCTTACTCAGGGTTGTACTCATATGCTTGATAAAGACGTAGCATGTCAATTAACCAGTCGTCGTTATTCCATAAAAAGTTGTTATCGTGTCTTGTATAATTAGTCATCTCAATTGGTTACTGACGAATATAGCTTTGCAAAACCCTTCTCGTTTCCTCCCTTGTACATGCTGATATTTGGTGAAATTTTTGATCAAGTGTTTGATTTATGCAAATTCTGATTTTTAGGAAATGGGCAAGTTTACTGCGATTTTAATTAAATTTTGTACATCCCTTCAAACACTCCACCTCTAAAAGCGACATTGTCAAGAGTTTCGTAGTGATAGAAAGCATAAAGCTCAACGAAAATTTAGATGAAATACGTTACAAGCCTTAAGAAAACGATGGGTTGTCTATTGTTTGATAAGGTTAATTAGATTAAATAACACACCAAATATAATAAAAACCAGTGTTCAGCTTTACCGTTACATTTCTTAAAGAGATCTCAATATGATTTGTCTAATATCTTTAACGGTTTCATTAATGAGTTTCTCACAGTTCTCGTGTTTGTCATGGATGTGTAGTGACGGTTCCCTAACAAGCAGTCTTATCTAAACATAATGATGCAATTAGCAAGATATAAATATATTAAGGAAGAATGCTCGTCTTCGGGAAAATATCGAAATTTTAAAAACATATATTGCAAAGTGTCGCGCGTCTACAGTCGTATGTATTTACTCCGATGATGTTCAAATGGTTGACCACATCCTTGATAAAGATAGAAGAAAATGTGAATACTCAGAAGAATACAAATATACTTTGAGGTCTCGTTATTTGTCTACGGGGATGGAATTGATTGGTAGTTTTTTTTATATCGAAAGACTTTTATAATGGTTACTTTTATAATGGGACAAATAAACGGAGAATTTAAAGTAGTGGCTTTCGATTTATACAGTATCTATTAAAATAGTTTTATATATTCGCAACCATGAATACAAATGATTTTGACTTTAATTAACAAATTAAGACGCCTTATAGGACATCATCGGGGTGTTATTGATAGTCACTATTGTAAACAAAACCATGTACCGGTATCCAAATGAATCCCGCCATAAGAACGTCGTGCAGTCAGTTGTTTTAAAACAGTTGACTTTAAAGTATTTCAAGTAAATGGTTGAAAAAATAACCACCAGTCTGTATGTCCACCAATAGTGTTTTAAAGCTTACCTGCTAAACAAATCAATGTTGAAGAAGACATATTCACCATTGTCGAAGTTCAGTTCATGAGCTTTTATCATTATTTCTCGAACAGAATTTGGTGATGCACACAAAACGACAACTGTAAAAAATAGAAGGAGGACCGTTAAGTTATAAATATAAAGTAATAAATAATGCATATTAAGCCAATATACATTTTCCATGTTTTCAATCACTCGAGAACGTATGATTGATTTTATCTGTTTAAATATGGTTTATACGACAAAATACAAATGTCGTGTAGTCTCATCACTTCACGCTGAATATGTACACCACTTGTTTAGCCCTTTTGTAAAGGTCCTGTAAAGCAAAGAGGATTTGTTTTGGGATTATCTTTATTATCGAAAAAATCGAAAATTGATCAGCTAATGATTTGGAATCCTATGAAAATGTTGACTGTGACAAAGGTTCATTTTGACAAATCTTGAATGCATTTGTCCAAAAAATACTGCTAGGCAGAAATCCGTTGTTCACAAATGCAAGACTGGTTGCTCTTGCGTGTGATTACGGACAATGTTTTGATTTAAGAATCCTGCTAAACCTAAACAATGCTACTATTAATCTCACCAAACTATTAGAAATAAAAGAGTCGTGATAGACAGTAGACGATGTAATTAATTATTCAACGCCCAGAATAGTTGTGAGTAAAAACAAATTAATCTGACATCGACGACCAGACAAGTAGACCTGCTTCCAGAATTACCTGCGTGCTTAGAAACCCGAGGAACACGAATTCACATAGTTCCAAGCAAAACTTTTGCACAGACTCGATTTCGAGCCAGATGCTATGCATATACGAATGCTATGGTTATACTAAAAATGCTGAAGTGACTAAGTAAATAAGATTCTGGCTCGCTTGCCAGGAGATCTCGGGTTCGCTCCTAGTGTTAGCCATGAGATTTGTTCGGGATTTTCCGGTACGGTTTTCCCTTGTCAGTGGTACAGTACGGAGGGCCAGGACAGTGTCTAGTCGTTCGGATGGAACGCAGAAGAACCCCCATAGCGCACTGTGTGTCTGTATGCACTATCGGTTCAGAAAAGTAGGACGTTAAAGTTAAACCTCTTTTCATTTTATTTTCTTTCATCCAATTTCACAATTAACTTTTTTAAATAAAACAAACAAGGAAAATCAAAATTACAATCTTTACTGTTTCGTGTTTACCTTAAAAGTAATATTTAACAGCGCGACATAATAAAATTTGGTAGAAATATAATTATTAATTGCTCCCGTTTGTGCGCCCATAATGCTTGGAACTAATTGGAATTAGTTTTAAAATATGCTCATCTATTTAATATTAGCTTGGAGGACTATGTAGCGAAATTTCAAGCTAGACATTCTGACTAACTCACATAGTTACTAGAGAAGTCTTAATAGAAAATTTAGTTAACAAAGGTAAACTATTACTGAAACAGTCTTGTCATTTTTCACTGTACTGGACTAGTGATTGTGTTGGTCCAGAGGATATCAGAAGCCCATGAGTTTCAGCTTCTGCAATTTAGTTCAAAACTATCGGTGTATCTATCTTGTGCATGAGGCATTGAATATTTAATATATCTAGAAACCCTCATAACACATAGCTATTTAATGTATTCTTTGATCTTTAAAAAAATCAAAATGTATACAACAAGTGTCATGGGCAGATTTAGACAAATTTTAATTTCCCTTTAAAATCTATTATCATTTAGATGACCTCCACAGTGTCACGCTACCTAATGATCCCTTTAATTTCGAGGATATTGTATATCGGTATATATACTGATAATCGTATCGGTGATATGTGACTTACGGTTGGGTCAAACTTATACCAAATACAACCAAATGAATGTGTCGGTCCGTATTTGTGTTAAGCCTCGTTAAGTCTAAATTTCTTTTCTTGCTAAGATCAACCTCCTCAAATTTTTTGTTATAAATCACTTTGGATTATTAGCTCGGTATACCAACAACCCATCTTGTCGAATCGTTCAATGACATACTTTTCTTATTCATCAGATAATAAACAAAAATCTGGTTTCCAGCGCTAAGAGGGGCTTTCAGGAATATTGTTAGCGGGTTTTATCGGAGTTACACAATAAGCTCGAAGGATCCTTACTGGGACGTGGTTTTATGTGTTCCGTGCCAACACGAAGGTCGATTATAAAGCAAATCACAATAGTCATAAAATGAATAGCTGTAGAGAGGAATCACATAAAGTGAAAGATTGGATTAATGTTGATGATAACAGACAGGGCATTTATACACATCACATGTGAAAGCTTGGCTAGTCTTTTCTGATGCATTAGTAACCATGGAAGCTTTACCAATAAGCTTTAAAAAGTATTGCAAAATTTCAGTGAAATATTATGTTCTAATAGAAAACAGACAATAAAAATGTATAACATAAGAGGAAAACAGGTAAACAACATTTAATAAGTTTGAAGACATCTGAGAGTTAACATACAATACGCTCAGGGGACTGTAGAAATCTCAAGATGGTCGCTTGCATATTTACAGACATATCTAAATAATATACATTTTTATGCCTTAACAGTTCTTTTTCCATTAATAACAAAAATCTGTATACAACGTTTCTATCCTTCTGATGCAATAAATTCTTTCATATAATTATATGGTTTTATTGGATATGTTTTGGAAAAAAAAAGGGAAATCAAATATACCCTGCACTAGATAGACCGTTGCCCTTGATGGAGGATATCCCCTGGTAGAACTGTTTCAGTACACATTACACACCAAACACCATTGTCTTAAAGGCCCGTATTTTCAATTGATGATTAAAAAAATCTCCGCTGTCTTAATTCCCCTTTAAACACCGATTTTATATTATCCTTTTTAATCGCTGATTTCTGATAGTCGAAAATTAAAAGGTATTTTTTCCTTCAGACAGGAAGATAGCTCAATCCGAAGGCACGTGGATTACTCTTTACTCTTCCCATTTCACAAATTTGTTTTAGACGTAACCAAGGTGAGAATTTATTTAAAATTACGAGTGACATGGCAATGGCAAGACAGAGGTAAAAGGCAAAAATAAAAAGAAGGATAATAACGCGAAGAAAAAAAAAGAAACTTATCTGAAAAAATAATCCAGACGGATTTCATGAAAACTCATGACCACAAGGAACTTAAGAGAATGAAAGAACAATGGATACGGATTAAAAATAATACTAAGAAAGAGTATTTGCACCATTTGAAAGAACAGAAGAAAACTGGAGGACACCCACTACCATCGAAGGTTACCCAGAAAATCGGCCAGTTTAACAACCCGTATGACGACGATGCTGCAGAATAACGAAAATTTCTGACTAATATAGAAGGCACATGGAAAGATATTTTTTGAAAGTCAAGCTTGCAGAGGGAGAGAAGCCCACTAGACACGCACTAGATGAGGTCATTTTTGGATATGACGCTTGACAAGGCCTTCGAGCATCTACCCAGCGACACCCCTCACCCACCCGGCAAAATGAAGTGATCGTAATCCGAAAGTTGGTTGGGTATTGTCTTGCATCTCCCAATCGAGGTAGATCATAGTTTCAGAAAAACGCACAATTATTCTCAGGGTGAGCAGTTTTCAAACCCCGGTCGCTACTTGTCGTTAATTTTAAAGATTTTACATCAGGTATTTCGGGCGCTGATACAATAATTTTTTCGGGAAAAAAATGATACAGCAGCCCCCCCCCCTTCCCCGTCAATAAAAGGCCCATATCTTGTGAAACAATTTTATTTCAATAAATCGCTTGTGTTTGGATCAATAGCTGCGTGAAGAAATCGGAGAAAAAACCCCACAAGGTTCGGCAGGCCACCCTACTCGTGTAATAGCTTTCACAGCATTCAAGGTCAAAGTACCTATGAATCCCCTTTTTATGTATGAAGCATTCATTTTTAGGTGCATTTTATATAAGTGAGGAGGACACAGAAATGACTGAGGATGTTTATGAACATATAGAATTAGCTGAAGATGAGACTAGACCTAATGATATTGGCGATAGATGAAGAATTAAAGAATTAGAAAATGAAACCCCAGTTTTAAGGTAAGTAACAATCCTGTAGATTTAGGTGGTGAAATATGAAAATATAACACCGTTACATGATAATGACAGTTGGGTTCGAAGTTCGTGAAAATCTGACCAAAAGTGCCCCAAAAAATGATGCCCCCGAACGCAAATATTGGAAATTATGTAATACAAAGGCTGCGAACCCTCTAGAGGTCATAATCTAATCAAACAAAAATTTCATCTGATTTTGATAAAACGTAATATTATATGTTTATATCGAACCCTAACCTCCCGGGTTATGGCCCGTAATTGTACGATAAATCCGGGGGGGGGGGCGAATGGTTAGCGCGTGCGCGCTGTATCATAAGGTCGGTCATTGAGTCAACTGGTGTGGTTTCGATTTCCCGGTTGTACGTGACAAGGAGTAGTGTCGTCTTTCCAACATTGTGTTTTTTCTCCAAGTCCCCCGGTTTCCTTCCACTGCTAAAGACCCCTACGCGCAAGCGAATTATTGAAATGAAATTGAACCATGTGTTAGTCCCAAAATGACCTAGTTTGTGTCGATTGGACGTTAAGCTCTCTCTCTCTGTTCATAATTTTTTAAATAAAGAATCGAGATTGATTGATAGATACTTTCGCAGACAAGTATTTATCGGGTGTTTATTTCCAATAAAAGTATGGCGATTTTGGTATATATGGAAAGTAGAAACATCCAATCTTACTAGAAAAATACTGGATTCCATGAAAAACACCCATGATGTGCATACAAGGCAAAAATATAAGGGTTTCCCTAACCGGCAACCCGACGATTAGTGATGTCTGCTCGAGTAACGTCAAAGGTATAGCACGCGAAGATTGCCTTTCTGAGTTAAAAAAACACGAAGAAAAACTTTATTGACAGTGGATAATCCGAGAATTTATTGGGCTTCAAAATTTGTAATAAATAGTTAGCGATTAAAGACAACCTGGTCTTGTATATGCAATGAATTCTCCTCCGGGTTCGCACCCGTTGCTAGGTACCGAGAGAGGCAAGTCACGTAACACAAACATGCCCTTTTTTGATCGATTTTTATAGCAGGAGTATTCCCTGACAAT